AATATACTTATATGTATGCTCTTGGCTTCTAGACGTTAAAATAGGAATGACAAGTCTAAGTATATTAGCGTGTCTTATCGAGTGTCTTCTACTGGTGAATAGAATTAGAAACAAGTACTGTTGAGCTTGAAGAGAGAATGCGTTTTCTTTAGAAAGAGGAAAAACTTTTTAATGAATTGAGACCATTACATACATTTTCAAGGTAAATCTACATGCTATATGCTATAATAATACTGTCAGATAAAACTTTCAACAATTTAACTTAAAAATTTTTCTATTAATTAATGTCTGTGCAAATGTTTGTGTCGGCGTAATTTTCCCCTTTTTACTATGCGCGAGCGAGGAGTTGGACATCTTCTAAAGATACTAGTGGCAGCCTACGTACTAAAATTACCTTCCAGACACTCTTCGCCAACAGCTATGTTAAGCATTACTTCAGGTCAGCTGATGGTAATTAAATGCGTTCTGAATGGTATTTGTGCATGGGTTTGAATGTGTGTGTGTGTGTGTGGGTGCAATTATAAAATATACATGGATGCTTCACTTGCCAAATCGATTAACTCCATAAAACAAGAAGTTGAGAATGATAATAAAAAATATTATAAATAAATTATTTATTATTCAGTGGCCAAAACAATTTTGCCATTTAGTCGGATTAATATATATTATTAGAGAAATTCATTTTAAATATGTACAGTTAGGAGCTAATGAAGTGCTTTGATATTCAAATGTAATAAAATTCCAAAAATGGAGTTAATCGATTTGGCAAGTAAAGCATTCATATGTGCAATTTCTATTAAAAATAATAAATAAATAATGTAAACTCGTGGCATACGTGGCATCTCAGCTTGAACTAAATTCGTCCGTCTACATCATAAACTCAATGAAATTGTCAAAAAAAAAAAAAAAAAAAGAGAGTAAATCATGAAATTATAACATTACGTTGGCACTTCTATGCTACGAATTTGAAAAAATATTCAACGCACGATTCCAAATGAAGAAGAAGATAACATAAGTAAGGTAACGAACTCGTTTGCATTTTATATTATTTTTATTCGTCACGGATATATATTGCATAGAACGAACTTGTGTGTGTGATGCATGTTATATATGAAAATTTAATTGTACGACGATTCATTATGAAACTCAAAATTGTTGCCAAATTTTCTGGACTAAAATCGAACAAATTCCTCTAAATATATATTACAACTATTGTCTGCATAGAACGCGTTCGAAACGAACATGTGTGAATGCCAGAAACGAGCACAAAATTACTTTTGTGGAGGAATTAGATGTATTAGTGAGTGTGAGGGAGATAAATTATTTTTGATTATAATGATGCCTGTATAAATACTTTTCAATCTTTAGCAAATATCCCTGATGACAAATGATTGTTTCTATTTATTTAATATTGTTATTATAAATTACACATTTAACTAAGCGAAATTTTTTAACAATTTCTAGCCGCTCACATCAAAGCCAAAGCTCACATCGATGCCTATTATAAATTTTCTTCCTAATGATCTGTTAAAAATTATAAATTATTTGTTTGTTATTACAAGTTTTTGCAAATATTTTTTATTATATAATTTTTTTTTTTTTTTTTTTTTTTTTTTTTTTTTTTAAGAAGGAACCGGGATGTAGCTTAGCATTATTTAAATTGAAAATTTCTTTTTTCAGGACTTGTATAGAATATCATGGAATTATTATTATTTCATCAAAGAGCTTTATATATCAGATTGTATGACGCTTGACGCTGAAGACAGATGTATAAAACTTCGACTCCCTTGACATTGAAATCCCTTTTTTTCATAATTAAGTTTAAGAGAATTATATAGGAAAAGATTACAATTTCTTGATTAGTACGAATGAGATTACAGCAGGATGTGTACGCCGGGAAAGACACTTAAGTGAATACAAATTATTATTGCATATTTCTGACAAGTGGAATTTTCTATTTCTCGAAATACAGGAGACTTTTTATATATAACACAACATTCAATAAGTTCATAGGATGACCTATCGACAAATCCATACGAATTTTTTTTTTTAATTTTCTGTATAGCGTTACTAAAATAACTTTAACTCGTAAACTAATAGTCGAAGTGTTATGAAATTTTTGGGCGTGTCCTTTGAAAGCTGATACGATCTAAAAATCACTCGTCAATAATAGCGGCATCTATGTCATCCCACGCTCAATTTTCATATGACTAATTTCACTTTATGTTATAAATATGTAAAAAGCGACTTGTGTAATAGGAAAAAGCGCGTAAGTACAAGAAAATATGATGCCACGCAAAGATGGTGAGTTGCTATTTCAACTTATCGACTTAATACTGGCATTTGTTAATTGCTGCGCGTTGCCTACTAGCAGAGTGTGATTACGAATATTTCGAAATCTTTGCAAACTTATGATTACTAATGAAGATTCTTTGACCACAAGATTTACTTGTACACAAATATTTCGAAAAAAATTCACCAAACCATTAATTGAAATCATTTGCACCTTTAGGTACTTCAACCAATTTTTAGCTCGCAAAATTATTCCACTCGTTCTTAGGCAAACTATTGACGGATTGAATATTTAAGTTTTTAGTTTTCTTTAACCTTGCTGCATAGGATTCGACAATGATTACATTTTATTTTTCGTTTATTGAATTCATTACCCAATCCAGTTGTTTAACGTTTAACGATTAGTAGATCACTCGACTTTATAAGATCTTGTCAATCGCAAGACATTGTTGTCCCGTTCTTTGTTGCTTTCATTCGAGACTAGTAACAGAATTGATATATGATTTAGTATGTTTTCGTTTCTTTAAACAATCAGTCATAATTCTGGAAATAAAATCCAGAAAAACAAAAACAAAACTGCTCAAATGCTCCTTTCTTAACTTAAACTTCAATGCCTGTAAATATAAAGATATCGGAGATGGTAACCATATAAAAAAAAAATAAAAAAAATTGATATTTTTAGGTTCGAAGGCTAAGGTCAACGTTACAAGATAACGTAATTGTTTATTTATTTATTTATCTGTTTATTTATTTATTTATTTTTTTTTTTTTTTTCTTAATTTTTCCTTAATAATTGCATGCATCTTTCATGCAGAATGTATTTACATTTTGAAACCTATCCATTAGGTATTTCACGGCATTGCAAAATAGTATTTTATGCTCATTTACATGATTTTATTCAACTCATATATTACTCATAGTTCGCAATTATTTATTCAACCATTAGGAAGAAGAAATAAGCAATACATTCAACAGATAACTTTTCCGAAATCAAGTGGCGACTATTAAAGATTATTCTCAGAGTGTGTATAAGCGTTTTGTTTATTTCTAATTTTTGGCTTTATTTCTATTCCATTTTACTATTGCATCTATTTTCAGGTGCCGTGCAATAATATTATTTGATTCGGTTTCTATTTATGCAAAAATTTTAAATCTAAAAATTTGAAAACTGTGGTAAATCAACAATTTTATTAGGTTCTGTACACATGTGTAAAATTTCATTTTGCAAGAACATAATTAACGTGCGGGGTTATCGTTTGTGTGAGGAGAGAAAAAATAAGAAGGCAATATACGATTTAAAGCGAATATTAGATATGCAGTACATTTTACAGATAAATCAAATTTATTATTAAATGAAGTAAAAAAACAAAATACCTATTTTTCGAATCAACTTAATATAAGGGAGTGCATAAATGAAATAAAAATTAAATTTGATTCGATTATCATTTTTCCGTTCCGACACTAATTATCATATCTTTTTCAGGTAACCCTCTTATATCTTAAAGTTTATACGCATAATATCGAATTAAAGAGAGGAAGCAACAAGAAGCTTTAACTAAGGTCTTGAAACAAACGAAAATGGGAGAAGGGATGCACACGCAACCAGAACGCAATTGTATATAAACAAGCCAAGGAAAAGACAATTAAATATAGCTTTTGGTGGAGCCGAATTAAGATACCCTATAAGACCGCTACAACTAGTAAATGCATCTTGACTTTTTGACTTTTGTGATTAAGCGTCCTATACATATATTAGAGCTGGGTAGATAAGGATGCGATTCGTAATAATGAGAGCAATTCAACTTGTTCCCGGCCACAATTAAGGGTACATAGGTATATATTCGAGACGACACTGCCAGGAGAATAATAAATCCAGTAAACCAGCATATTTCTGTGCTACGAAAAAATGTACATATATTTGCCGTCATGTTTATTTAAGTAAATAGAATTTGTAAATGAATTTTAATATCTCTGCTCGCTACTTTGCCATGTTCATATGTTACTCTTCTCAATCCATTTATATGAACTAAAAAGATTGATTGAAATCTATTCGAATTTCAAAGAAACGCGCAAGTCCTACAAAATGTATGTCTTGAAGCCCACAACCAGTGGTTAAATACGAATTTAAAAATTTGCAAAACCATGCATCAGTTTCATGAAATAAATCCCCCGGATCAAGTAACACCAATAGCAAAGTATTTTTCACTTTTCATTAATTTGCTGGAGGAGATAATTAATCCATTCTCTTATCATATATTTAACGAGTTCTTTAAAAGGAATACAAAATCCTTACTGCCGTATGCAACTGCTATTAAAAAAATTATTAATTCTGGAGTATTTTAAACTCCAAGACCCTGATATGTTCACCATATTATATTGTTAGCTTTCTCCCAGTTGGGTGAAAAGTTGGGTGAAAAAAATTGAAGTTTTGCAGAAATACTTTCGCTTTTGAAAATGTAGGAAATACATCTACTCTTCTACCGACATACTAACCACATGTAAACTTAATGGTTTTAATACAGGTAGAGACTAAACCCTTTAAAAAAAATTTTTTTTTTTTTTTTTTTGCAAAACAATTTTGATTACAGCATGATATATGTGCATGCATAAGTTAATATATTTTCACTATTATTTTTCAGTTAAGGAAACAAAACTTTGCTCTATACATATGACACTATTTTTATATTCGGCGTTCCGTTGACAAACTATAGTCTTTTTTCTGACTGCCACATCGCTGATAAGAAGAAGAAATGTTATCTAATTCGAAATGATAGTTCAGTTCAGCTAAATATTATTTTATCTAATCTAAATATTCCAAATTAGTCGCGAATCATGATCCTGCACAAATAAATGAATGTTTTAAACTTAATGTTAGCCATACCGCTCGAGCACAATCCCTTTATATTGCAAGTAGAAGCAGAAAAGCTCTGATCTGCATCCAATCCAACAGTTAAGCCGTCTCAAAGGCCATAAAAGGCCAATCAATAACATCTAGGCTCGTGTTCGCGTAGCACTAAATCATGAATAGGCTGAACAAACACAGTGACATGGACCTAATGTGGATATCTAACAAGGCATCTTAAGAAGGCATATTAATAGGCTGGTAAAAATCAGTTTGCCATTAGCAGCAAAGCGCAAGCGAAAAAGTTTACAAAGTTTCCCGGTACGGCGCGTAAGATACTCGAACTAAGAAGAAGCGACTTACGTTTAACCGCTGGCTTCCACACTTACCCCAATGTACCTCATGTATCACCTGAAAAACATGCGTAGTTATGGTAACGCGATTTACGCAGATTCTGCCAAGGGGCGAATGAAACGCCCCAACAGATTTTATGTGAATGCAAGGCCAACTACTGAATCAGACAGTAGACGTTTGACAGGCATTTCGTAATGACAGACATTGTGTGTGATAGTCGGAGTCAAAGAAGTGGAGGACTAAGGACATGGGTTACTACCATAGATCTTTCAGCTCGCAGTGCAGATTACCTACACTAAATCTCACTGCTGACTTTCTTATATAGATGAGCAATTCGATTTAATTAAATTATTAGATTAAATATTTTTATTGCAAAATTCGACTACGCTCATCAACATAGTCTCACGATTCTTCAACATATTCCTGTTTATTTTTTCAGACGTCTAACTAGTTAAGCGATTCAAAACACACGTTTCTGTTATCGCGCTGATGTCGTGGCGATGAGAGAGATGACCGTTTAATCTAAATCTTCTTTCCGGGAGCATCGGTGCATACGGTGAGTGGAGGACATTTCGGACGTCAACTTATGCAATTTTGTCATTGTAGACATTGAAGTGCGATATTCTTTTTTATTTATTTATTTACTTCATTTTTTTTTGGTTCCAGTGTAAGTAAGCACGGTCTTCCGGAAAATAGTTTTCTCATACTCAAATTTTTATGATTATCTCTTGGCCACTTCACTTTTCGATTATCGGGAATAATTTTCAAGTTTTTTTTTTTTTTGATGTTTTCGCGTGTAAGCATCCGTTTTAGGCGTTAACCATGTTCAGCATCATCAGTGAACAGTGATTTCAAATCAGCAAGCTACGGACAAATGGTGTCTTTTGATCGAAGAGAGTAGAAGCACTCTTTTCTTGATAAGGCAATGCAACATTTAAAAGAAATTCTTTTCTTTTCAAAAATCCATATTTAATTAATAAAAAACGTATAAAAATTCTTCCATTTGCGTTGAATTTAAAGAAAGTTTTATCACTAAAGTCGGTGAGATAGATAAACAAATGCTTGAAATTACATGAAATTTCGATTGTTCGAGAATAGACATCTTCTCGGATTAATTTTTAATTTTAATTTGGAGACGACATCTATGTATTTATTGGTGGTATCAGGAGTTATTAATCAAGGAATGTTGGTGGTTAGATAAATATTTTGATAAATTTCAGATAACTAATCTGCTAGAGTTCAGAAAGTATATTTTACTAATTGTGCATAGATATATGTAGAAATGCGGGATAAATGATTTCGCAACGGGGAATAATAGTATATTACTGTCTCGGTTGAGATCTCTCTGAGGTGAGATGCAACTAGAAAAAATTATTCAATTTGCTTAACTTGTTGAGTAAACAAAATAGAAAAGTTTTTAATTGAAGACTGAAATCCTAGTCAAGGTTTAAAAAGAGGGTTTTTTCATATTTATGAAAGAATTTCTTATTTATTTTTGTTTTTTTTTCGTTGTCATACATATCTATGCACCGTTTTGTGTTGTACTTCAACAGCAATGGAAAAAAATTAACACTTTTATGCATACATACATATATGACCGTGATTTTTTCCATGATTGTGTGCAAATTTTTCGCAGAATAATAAACAATTAACTCACGTGCAAACTGTGTGTGTTTAAAGCGGTGGAAGCGGGTATACGCTTGGTTAGGCATTTAGTTTACTTGCCCGCATATGTATTTCGCTATTTCGCATATTGTCTGCATATGTATTTTGTACATATGTAAAGTCTCTTTAATAGTTTATTAGGGCTCAGGAGTTATCTTTAATAACTTTTCCAAATTGTATCAAACTTATTGAAAACCTATCTAAATAAGATATATTTGAATAAACGAACAAACGGCGGCAACTTCCAGCGCAAACAAAATATATTACAATTTATTGCTGTTTTTAACCTCTGCTTAAGTATTGTGCTTGCGATCGATATAAAATAATATCTGCTATAGTATCGTATGGTGAAGTGTTAATAAGGGAATTCATGTTTTTTTTTTTTTTTTTTTTTTTTTGCACAGTCAGCATCCTAGGATGAAATGAGAGCAATATATAAAGATAAAATGATTCTTCTTTTTCTTAATGCTTAGGCTATTTATCTTACTCTAACCATGTTGAGACTTATTATGTATGTAAAATGCCTAGACGAACAAATCGACTGTGGGAATATATATTTCAAATAACTCTATCAGTTTCAGTTTACTTGATTTGCTCATGTAGAGAAGTAATCTACTTAATATTCCACTGTGATATCAGTCACACCTAGTATGAGTTCTGTTCATTTCAATTCTTTAGAAAATATCTTTAATTTTGCTTGGAATTTGTTTCAAGATTCTATGGCATTCCACTGCTCTGCAGAGCATTCGTCGAAAATCTCTTTAATTTACTTTCTTCTTCTAACTCTCAATTTAGTTCCTTTTTTTTTTGCTAATAGATTATATTTTATTACTTTAAATACTTTGATCATTACTTCTTGACTTCTTTTTTGCGGGCTTTGTTAATTAATTGTTTCGATAATACGAGTTTTGTAAGTTTTTATTCGGTTTATCAACTCAGATGGATACAAGACAGAGGATAATTTCTTAACTTTTGAATGATATAGCGATGCCACACAATAACTGGTATATGGTAAATATCAAACATTGCTACTCTTTATGAAGCAAGCAACATACTTCAACATATAATTCAAAATTTATTTATAATTTTGAACCATTTTTTAAGATCATTCATCCTTGAAACAGATCTTATAGTATGAATGCACTATATGTGATGGTGTATTTTGTGATTGACGAAATTTGATGATTACTAAGCCAATTCATTAATAGAAAATGAGTAGACAATTTTCACTTCCTTCACATACTTTCACATTTCGTTAATACAAAGGAATGAATTCATTTATTACAGTTTCGCCGCTTGGCAAGTAAAACTCATTAAGTACATAAGAAGTTGCAATCGAAGATAAGTTTGACAAAATACTCTTACAGTTAAGACACACGTGCGGATTACTCAAATACTAGTGTTTTCCCAATTTTTCTTCTTTTTTACATGTATACTATCCGGACGCGCAAAAATACATTCGTAAATTTAATGTCTGTCAAACAGAGGACAAATGATTTGTACATCAAAAGACTGTAAAGGGCTTACAAAATACTAAGAAAATAATGTATAACTAAGACGGTCAGTATTATTGTCAATAAATTGTTGCTACGAATTCAATTATCACAAGCAAATACGAATAAAAATTCTTCTTCAATCTTAACCGTGACTCTCAGTCATTCATAACAGTTAGAAGAATAGTTAAAATGTTATTGCTTTGTTTATAGTTTAAATCGATTTATTTATTCAAACAAGGGAGCTATATATAAACATAAAATAGTATTTATACCGTACAACACTTGTGATAGAAAGGCGTCATAAACTTCCGCGGTCTTGGCATAGACTCACTGAATCATTTACTAAAACGATTTAAGCTTAGGCACCCTTTTGCGCGGATTCAGCCTACAGGCCGCAATTTTTTAGATATTTTAAACACTGCCGCGTTTTAGCCCGACGACGAACATTACTGAAATAGTTCGAGTTGAACCGCTTTTTCGACCGCTTCTCACGTGACACTTTGCTTTAAAAAGTTGTTGTATGAATGATTGTAAGATGGTATATATATATATATATGTCTATAAGGGTCCTATAATGGTTTTTAACGCATTTAGAAGATAAAAAAAAATTGATTTGTTGATTCAATCTCTGCGTATGATAAGCTTTGTCAACTGCTCTTTAGATGTTCGGCTGGGCATATGCGACAACAACACCGAGTTTAGAGCTCGATATATGTCGATTTTACTTGATGTGTCATCTGGCTAGTGTTCGACTTCCATTTTGGTGGATGCGTTGTCAAACATTTCATTTATGCTCACATTAGCACTCGCATCGAAGCATCACGTGCTGCTACACTGTATATGTGGTACTATCGCGCTCCGAATCAAATTTTTTTGGAAATTGTAAGACTACAAGATAAATCAGAATGTTTAAAATTATTTTGTACATTCCTCAGACGCAGATATATTATCTCCATAAAAGATGCCTTAATTCTAAAATGACACTACAACGTGGTTTTTACTTAACAATACCATCGACATGGGTACCATATAAAAGGATTTGGAGAGTAGAAGGCGACAAGGAAACTGTGTTAACTCTCTAGAAAAAACCAATTATAATCTTAAGCTACGCAAATGATCGGAATAAATTTTAATGGTTGTGAGAATACGAGATGCTGCCCCAGCCATATATAACTTTTTCACTTGTTTCTTTTTATTTCTAACACTAAGAAGAGTAGATATTATTAAACAAAATTGGTTTTTTTTAAAATAAGATGTAAACAGAGAGAAGAAATGAAAAAAATGTATTTTTGTTTTTAAAGGTTTAGCGCAAAAAAAATCTTTCTGTTGTGGGAACTGGAAAAAAAAATTTTTTAAATTTCTTTAAACAATTATTAAACCAAGGATATGAAATTATATTTATATATAAACAGTAAAGACATAAACCAAAAATTTTTTGCAGAGTTCGGCTTCTGCCGTTAAAAGAATTCTGTTAAACGAAGTCTCGGAGAGATTTAAATCGTAACATAGTTAAAATAGAACTTTTCGAGAACTTTTACCAAAATATTATAAACAAAACATGTCTTTATGTAAATTAATTAATATTTGAAAAAAAAAAAATTTTTACACTATGTCATAAATGAGGTTGACAAAGCCAAAGTTTGCCTAGTTACAGTGTACAAACTATGCCATGCGTGAAAGGCTTTAGTCTTCTATTATTATGGACCTTTGAAAATTGTCCTCTGTTAATAGACTTTCCAACAAAGGGCATATCAAGTTTTGCTTAGAGAAATTTTTTTATGGGACTTAAAAAATTACCGTACTTCACATAATATAGGCTAATATATAAGAAATATTTCATAGGTTTTTGTGGGCAAACTATGTCCTGTGAAAAGACGAAATTAGTAGGGCGTAAATCCTCTATTATTACGGGACTTTGAAAATTGTCTCACTTAATGTAAACTAATATATAAGCAAAGTTTGAAAGGTCACTGTAATAAAATAAGGCTTTACATGGGACGTGCTTAAAACGGCGATCCTCTTCAAAATACTTGCAATAGCATTCGTCCTTGGGCGAGAAGAGGTCAGGGCACCAAATTTCGTCATCAGAATATCTCAAAAATTATGGCCTGGCGGACAGACAGTCAGACTTAAATCAAATCAGAAAGTGATTCTGAATCGAGCAGTATCATAAAACCTGGGTCTGTCTCAAGTCATTCTGGAATGACTTGCATACAACGTCACAAACTTAATAGACCCTTGTAACACAAATGATAAAGGGTGAAGATAGAGTCTTTCGCTAAGAAGTTCGGTCTTTTACGTTTACAAAGCCAAAATCCTTGTCTTACTTTCATTGAATAATATTCGCACACTGTTGCAAGATAAGGCTTTGATTATGGGCCATTTATTAAATGAG